TCAGTGAGTGACGGTGACCCCCGTGATCTTCTGGACGCCTTGCTGAAGGGTAAGATGGACAGGTCGCCGGGATCAGAGGAGGAGCTGATAACAGACGACCATGTCCTGATGACAGCGGCTGAGGCTTTTGGAGCCGGAGTGGAGACGACGTCCACGACCCTGCTGTGGATCCTGGCCTACCTGCTGCACCACCCAGAGGTAAAAACACCACGCAGACTGAGGCTGAGGGAGTTTAATATGGATCAGTTTTATTCAGTGATAGATACAAATTGGAATAAAGCAATAATAATAAGATGCTGAGTCATAATAACAAGATAACATTAATTTCAAAGCACTTCTGTTGTCCTCCATCATTAACTTCATCATTGCGGACGCTTCAGGTCCAGGATCGAGTGCAGAAGGAGCTGGACGAACAAATCGGCAATGAGCGAGCAGTGAGCGTGTCGGACCGCGGCCGGCTGCCGTACCTTGACTGTGTCATCAACGAGGGCATGAGGATCCGACCGGTCAGCCCTGTCCTGATCCCACACACCGCCATGACCCACAGCAGGTACACCTGCACACCGGAGCAGAAACGATCAGTCAATCAAAAGTCGATTCGAGGAAAGTTCATTGAGTTTCATGACCAACTTATCGTTCGAGGGTTTTATGATTTTGTTGTTAAGGTGGTTTTATTTATGTTCTTTACAACAAGAACATAATAGAACAGGCTCCTCGAAAGACACTGACAGGTGAAAATGTAAGGAATTGTTCTTCTTCTGCTTGAATACCACTTCACTGACTCAAAGGCAGCACCTGGTGGTGGAAGCTGTGCAGTGCATTCACAAACAGGTCCAAGAAAATATTTGAACAAGAAACGTGTTTTTCCCATATCGAGATTTAATGAAAATAGAGATTTGATCGTTAAACAAGAATCTGCTACATCACGAATATTCTCCACAGCTGCATAGTGATACAGTGTTAGATCGTCAGCATAGTAAACAAATAGAAGCTTATGGACTGAATCAGCCCAAAAAACACAGCAGCCTAACAAACAGTACATTTAGAATATAAATGATCAAACTAAGCATTACAGTGTTTCCTTATTATACAAATAAATAAACATTAACAATCTTCTACGTATAAATTATTCTTCCACTTTTTTGTCAAATATGATAAAAAAAACTAAACACAAATCGATTAATTGAGAAATAATTTCCAAACTGTTTAATGTGTAAAATAATTGATTGGTGGATTTATATTACAAACACTCACCTCCCTCTCTGTGCTGTAGTATTGGAGGTCACTCTGTCGGTCCTGGGACTCGTGTTTTGGTCAACATGTGGTCGATTCACCACGACCCTCGACACTGGGACAAACCGGACCTCTTCAACCCAGGTTCAAAACACACAAACATTTCACTTTAGCAGCTTTTCAAAGAGCACCTGAACACACCATCTTTGTCTTTTCCCACCTTTCCAGATCGTTTCCTTGATGACCAGGGTCAGCGGGTCACACCCTCCTGCTTCCTGCCATTTGGGGCGGGGCCTCGGGTCTGTGTCGGCGAATCATTGGCCAGGCTGGAGCTTTTTCTCTTCTTGTCGTCTCTGCTCCAGCGAATGAGCTTCAGGCTGCCAGACGGTGCTCCTTCACCCAACCTGCAGGGGCGCCTTGGCGTGGTCCTGCAACCATTACCTTACAAGGTCATTGTCACTCCGAGGGCGGGGTGGGAGGGCGGAGCAAAGTAAGGAAAAAAAAGAATTGGGCAAGAGATAGAAATTTATCGCAGAAAATGTTGTTGTCTTGTTAAAATTTGAATAAGTGATTAAAATCTTCCTCAGACAATGAAGTGAAATAAATAAAAAATCCCTAAGATTGTGATAATTTAGTCTTTTTTTATGATTTTCCACCTGTAAGAGGATCTCTGCTTTCTATCACAAGTACAATTTTACTCTAAATAGCTCGTAAACATCTAGGATTGGCTTTGAAATAAATTGTCTCCCTAAAAAACATTACCGGAACATCAATTTTTGTGTTTCTATCAGTATAAAATGATTGATCTTATGGTCATCGTGGTCGTTGTGGTGATAATATTGACTTTTCATGATCGGTGCTGTTGGATGAACGGAGACAGGTGGTAGATTTAACAGTTTTATTCAGTATATCTTCACACACTGTTAGAACAGGCTGGTTTAGTTAGGTCACACACGTACCTACACACATCCAAACATACACACTATTCATTAGATAATACTAATGTTTAGCATCGTTATCATCGTAATATTCAGGGATTTGAAAGGATCATCTCTTCTCTGCCTCCTTCGACTCCTCTGACAGAAACCTCATGCAACAAGGAAGGACAGAAGAGACGAGATAACAAAGAGAAAATCGTCTTTCAGACAGAGGGAAGGGCTTCTACGATAGAAGGAACATACTGAACTTTTAGTAAATTAAATCATTTGTCAAACACTGAAAGTGGAGCTGCTTCCAATCTGCTCAAAGAACAAGTGAAAGTTGATCAAATGGGTTTTCTGAAACTCTGACTGGGTTCACATTTCAGGGTCAGCACAGGCTGCAAATAAAGATGGAAGACGGGAAGGTTCCTTAAAGTGAGGCCGAATCATCTGGATCGCCCCCTGGTGGCTGGCAGCTTACAGGTCATTAGCCGGCCTCCTCCATGTCAACAGATGTTACATCTGTCGGGATCTAACTGAGGCAAATCTGTTCTTGTCTTGGTCAAAGAAAGATTCAATCTTAAATCTTAGATCAGAGTTTTTTAAGTTTATACGCCCCAAAATGAGACAGTTTAAAATTAATTTAAGTACAAGAATACGCAACATTCAATGTTTGTCTTGTACATCCAGGAGTCAAGGTTCATTCTGTCTTCCAGTGTATTTACTCACGTGTTAGGGTTTATGTTCCTTACTTAACATAAAAAAATACAATTGGTATTTATCAGTGGTTTGTCCTGACTTCGTAGGTTTTGTAGGTTTCACTAATCACCAGTAGAGGTTAATAAATTCTCATTTGATACATTTGTTGCTTTTAAAGATTCTCCTTATGTCCATACAGGGAAATAAAATCTGACCTGTCAGCGTGAATCCAATCAGTGTGAAACTCTAGGAGAGGACTATTTTTTGAATGTTTTCATCCACCGACATTAATTGAAAAACTAGAAAAACTTGACAAAAAGAGATAAACACCGGGGTTTCCAAAGGCTAGCTGGTCTCTGACATCAGCCTCGATCATCTACGCTGTCATCAGCCACTTAGTTGAAGATTTTACCCATGAATTCAGGAGGCTGATGTGAGAAGCTGCTGATGCTTTGGGAACCGGAGCTACAGACAGATTTCAGACATCCCTCCAGTCACTCTGGTCGAAAGCCCACACCCACACAGAGCGAGAACAGCTCTATCTAATGCTAAGTAGTAACAGTTGTCAAGTAGAAATGGCACTCTGTAACCATGGAGATATATAACCTTATTAGTTCAGGTAAACAAAAAACACCATCAACCACAACATCAACCACAACATCGACGGCTCGGTGTCACCCTCGAGGAGCTTCCTCAGCCTCTATGAACTCTCCGTCCTCAGGCGCCAATGTTGCCTGGATTCAATCGATCAACGTTGTGTTTTTTGGCCCCTCAGTCTCAGTCGAATCAATTCATCGTCAGAAAATCTCCTTGAGCTCTCCAAAGTCCAAATCAGCTCAAAACCAGATTCCTGCGTCTGTGAATTTACCCACAGAGGTTTAGAAAAGGAAGAGTGGATCGTTTTCATACGTCCATGTTCGAATCCAATCTTGTGCACAAAACATCCAGCTGTCAATCAGTTTGAAATAACTGTCCGCTCCATGGCAGGACATTGATTTTGTCTTAATGAAGTCCAACATAGCTTTGTCCGTAGGTCAAGGGTGTCCGTATGGTCATAGCCATTGTCCTTTTGGGACAAGTCTGTGTTGTAATGCAGCATGGACACAGGGTTTAAGGATCATTCAACCAGACTCAAGGTCTTTCCATCAGAGAAAGCTGAATTAATGATATCGGTGAAACAATCGTCAGGTGACCACTGCACCACAGGGACCTGAGAACAAAACATCTTTTTCGGTATTGAACGGTATTGCCTCAAGATCTTTTCTTTCTTAAAGGAGACATATTCTGTTTTTGTTTTTTTTAAGTTCTTAGTGAATAAGTGAAAAGTTAAAAAGCTCAAAGTCTGTGTTAAATGAAACCCCCCTCGTCAGAATCATACTTCCACATCATCGTGTTGTCGTGTGACATGCCAGACAAGCTGAGCCTGACGGGATGGGCCAGGTTGGTTTCAGACAAAGATTTTGAAATGATATTCAGTTTTGCATAATGCACGGCCAGAGTTTAGACTCAAAGCCGCAGAGCCCCTCCTGGGCTTTATCAGGAGGGGGGGGTCTTAAATAGACAGCAGCTGAAACCAAGTGTTTGAGACAGAGGCTGAAAAAAGGAACTGCAGCAATGGACAGTCTGAGGAAAGATATGTGTTTTCTGAACATTAGAGGATGTAAACATTTTCCAGTAAAAACGTTAAAATGATCAACCTGAAGATGAACAGAATATGTCTCATTTAAGCAACATTCAGACTAGATTAACAACACAAGGGAGGGAGAGGAATGCTCATTTTCATGTCGCCAATGGGATGTAAATTATTGTTATCGTGGCTGGAAATATTACTGAGGAGGTGGTGAAATATTACTAACATTCAGGTTCTGGGCAGAATTAAAATCACGGAAAAGAAAATTTTAAAATCCTGCTCCGTCCTCTGGAGGCATGAATCCAGTCTGAGTGAGACGTCATTTGAACGTTTTCACTCTGAATTTGATCAACCAATCATCTGCCGGTACAATGTGATGACATCACTGCACATTCTTCCTCTTGTCGGTTTCTCTCCAGTGTCTTTTCCAACACACGTCAACATCTGGTTTGAATCAACACAGTTTACGTGACAAGGTGCAAGAGACCTTCAGCTTTTGACTGAATCTGCTGCGGAACTCTTACTAAAAAATGTAAAACTATTACAAATGCGTGTTGGCAAACCTGAGTCTCTTGTGTTGGAAATGACTTGTCTCTTTTGAAGAACACACCAGCCTTCACTATCCCTTTTTACGGAAGAGTTTTAGAATCAGGCAAAAGAAACAAAAAGAGGTTTATGCAAAAACTACAACAGATGAATAGAAAACATGGTGGAAGGATGTGTGGCAGGGAAAGACTGAAATTTGGTGCAAATCCAGGATTTTTTTCCCACTTTCTTTTATATTGTGAGATTTTAACTTAACATTTTCAATAATTCGTGGATCTTGATGAAAATAATCAGGCATGGTGTGGCACTGACTATTTGGTGCAGCTTGATTGAATTCACCTGGACTCGTTTTTTCTGATACCTGACCCCTCTACTCTTCCGTATTTTTCTGCACTTGTTGGGTAAAAACTTCACATCTCCAAGATGCTAATTCTTTGAGATACTGATGCATTTTTCAGTTTGTGTGGAGGGAGTAGGATTTTCCTCGACCGAAGCGGACAACAGAGAAGTGCATCATATGTCACCTCAACTGGAGAAACAAGGTTTTCACCCAACAATGACGATGTGTTGCAGTCGTCCTGAATTTGTTATTTACACACAGACTCTTGCTGATGAAAAATATTGCTCTTCACTAATTCAGAAGGTGGTTGGAAATTCACCATCATGTACAATACAAATGTTACTAACACTCTGTCATTGACAAAATATACTCTACCTTTAAGTCTTTCTGTCACAAAATATCAATATTGACTGATAATATTCACTGATGGATCTGACTGCGTACGAAACATTAATATGTTACAACAAAAGGCCAAAAAATAAATTGTGTCGACTCCAGGAATGTCATTTTTAAAGACCCCGAAAGAGTTTGTGATTTCTGTAGGATGCAGTAAATTCAGTTTACTAGTCCGGATGTGAATGTTAAAAAAAGGAGAGGTGTCTACGAATTGAGAGAATGGATATTTCAGTTTAGATGAAGACTAAACATAGCTTTGTTGCATCTGACCTCAAATTCAGATAAAGAGACAAAGACGATGACACGCTCCCGTCTCTGTTCTGTTTGGTGCTTTGTTTCTGTCTAACAGCCGCCATTGTTTATTCTAATTTATAAAAAAAGCTTTTCTCTGCTGAAGAGCGGACGCACAGGAAACCGACTGACCCCCCCCTCCGCCATGAAACTTTCCACATAGGATCTAGTTAAACCAGAAATGCATCAAATTTGACGAGCCTTCTCTCCCATTTCATAAACTACCAACCCAATCCCTCTTCCATGACAGACGTCTTCATCAAGTCGTCTCCCCAAACGCATGAATCAGTCTTCCCTCTGTCAGTCAGCGTGAATCATCCTCCCACATCCATCTCTTCTTTTCCAAAACAGCCAATTTGTCCCTTGTATGTGTTCAAACCGCCGTCATCACCCGAGACGAGCGAGGAGTGTTCTGCTAAACATTCAACTATTTAAAGTTGCTCTTTTCTTTGCGGTGACAGACGTAAGAAAGACAACGTCATTTCTGTCAGAGGTGTGACGTGTCCCAAGGCAACCATGTTCGCACCATATGGGACAGAAGGCAGACGTGAATGATTCGAATGTTTAGGACTTGTGAGTGTGAACGTCATTGGATCACTCAACTACTGGTGGAGTGACGGTTAAAAATCTTGTGCATGGTCAATATAGCAGTTTTTCATACAACATTTAATTATAACAGAATTAAATGTTGTATGCTAGGACATGTCCACGTCTTTACTTTATTAGTCACGTCTGCATTACGTGCAAAGTTACTCAACTGGAACTGTTAGAAAGATCAGTCTGAGTTTTATTTACGACTGTTGATGTGACCGCTGTTTGCAAACTGGTAACTGATCATTGCAGCCCCTCCTATGGAGGAGAATTAGCTTTGTGAATAAGAGGCTCTGTTCATTGTTTATAAACCGCAAATGGCCAAAGGTCAATTTGAGTCTTTTACTTTTTTAATGATTTATTGACGGAAAAACCCGTAAATTATCTGAATATCTTTAATTTACTATCCTGGGCAGCAGGGCTCCATCTGATTGGCCAAATATATTGACATGCAGTTCAAGCCATATATTGTGCATGTTGATATCGTGATGACGATACATTTTCGACATTTCATGCAGCCAAACTGTTATCGGACTGAGAACATCACTGGATCAACAGACACATCACAACCAGCTGTTTCAACCTCTAGGACACATTAAATGGTGATAATGAATAGACAACTCACCAGTGTTTCTCTGTTGGGTTTAAACTGGGGAGCAGGAGTCCTAATTTCTCTTGACATATTATAGCTGAGAGCAGTTCTCTAGTGCAGTGGTTGTAAAACGTTATCAACCTTGGATGCGATCCAAGTAAACGCCTCTCCTCCTTTTAAAACTCATATTAGACTGGAACCATGGCCAATCAAAATTTCAACTCACAGTTGAAAAAACGATATTGAGTTGAGATAATGCTCCTCATTGGAAATTTTGCTATGACACATCGTATACCTGTGCTGGTCTGACTAACAGCTGCTGCACAAGCAACATTTATTGATATGATGTAACCCGTCAATTTCAGAACAATCTCCACAAGCAGTTTAAATTTCTCTTCATGCCTTGTCTGGATGGCAAAAGGATTGATCCGTCACACCGTCTCCATGACAATGACGACTTCACCACTGTCCTCTGAAGTTGGCGTGGTGGAGGAGGTGGGGTTACACAGTGTCAGTTCCTCCCCTGTGGTTATCTGACCTCTGGCAGGGCAGTCCACACTATCATGGAGATCAGTGTTTCCACTTCCTTTTTTATCCCTCTCCCCTCCTCCTCCTCTACTGTCCTCCTTCCTTTCTTCCGTCTGCTCTTCCTCTTCCTCCTCCTCCTCCTCCTCATCATCTTCCTTCTCTACCCGACACCTGCACACCTCGATTCCAGAGTCACCAGTCAGTCGTCGATGTCTATACTGGCTCTCATCAGCTCCCATGTCATCATCTTCATCATCATTGTCCTCCTCCCCCTGCTCCTCTTCTCCATCCTCCCAGTTGGGCGGTCCTGGTTCAAAGACATCCACACAGGGGGAGAAGAGAGTCTGTTTCGGAGGGGACTGAGTGGCACGAGGTGAGGGGGAGAGTGAGGAAGCATGGCCAGAGGAAGATCCACCTTTGTCAGCCTGGTGCAGAGCAGTGAGTGGGTCCAGAAGTAAAGCTGGGGCTGTGAGGGAGGTGGAGGCCACGGCTGGAGGGGAGGAGAGAATTGGAGGAGAGCGAAGAGATCGGGGTGAGGATGGGGAAATGGCTGGAGGGGGCGACTGAGAGGGAGCAAAATAAGATTCAGACTGTATGGTTATAGCTGGACAGGAGGAGGAAGGTGTTGGGACTGTGAGCAATTGAGACAGGACCAGACAAGGACCCGATTCAGTATCCGGATTGAGACAAGATACAAGATCAGCTACAGCTCCTGGGTGTTGGGGTAAGTCTGACATTGGACCCGGAGTTAGACCTGATCCCAGTAACAGCTCTGAGTTCTGGTAATGGGCTGAGGTGGGTAGATTGGGTGCTGCATCTGCGGCTAAGGTAAGGTTAGAGTCTGCAGGAGTTAGACCAGGGTTAAATGTGGAATGTGGAATGTGTGTAGTTTTAGTTTGTGAGTCTAGTCCTGGGGTAAGGTGTAAAGGTAATGGCTTCGGTGTTTGGGAAAGGTTTGGCAACAGTGGGTCTGAAATCGGGATAAGGTTTGAGGGTTCTACTTCTGGACTTTCTGTAAAGTTTATAGTGTCTCCGGCTTGGTTTGTAGGCACTGGGTCTGGAGCTTGGGTAAGGTTTGAAGGTGCTGGGATTGGCACAAGGCTAGGATTTGGGTCCAGGGTTTGGATACCAGCAGAGCCTGTAAGTAAGGCCAAAGTTCTTTCAACATCTGGAGATGGTATTAAAGTTGGGCTACTAGGAACGTTGGATGTATCAAAAGTCCTTGTTAAATTGAGGGTTTCTACAGTAAGTTCAGCTGTAAGCATTTTAGAAGTTCCATCTGTTGGAGTAGAAGGGCTCGACTTTAGTGTAATTTTCGGGGCAGGGGTAGATCTAGGGCCCTCAGCTGGGACCTCAATGCTTATTACTTGGATGGAAGGGAGTGCTGAGTCAACAACACTTGGACAAGGGAGTATACTGGAGCTACAAGTGCTAACTACAGTTGTACATGGTCTTAGATCAAGCTGTTGCTTTATGGGAGATGTAGTTCCAACAGGAAGGGCCATCTCTGAACCAGGAGTGGATGGAGGCTGAGGGGAGGCCGCCCTGGTAACTACGGCCACAGTAACAGTCTGGTTGGGAACCGATGAGTCCTGAGGTTCCTGAGCTCTGGCAGCATCTGCATCATTGATGTCAACAGCCACTGAGGCCACCATCCTCTCAGAAGCAAATTGTATCTCATTTACCTCTAAGCAGGAGGCCGCAGCAGTGATGGTTTCCATGGTGACATCAAGCGTGAGGGGTGCAACCTCACTAGGAGTGGAGGCGTGGCTTGTGTCAGTCTCATATGTGACAGGTGCTGATAAGGAGGAGCTACATGGAGAGGAGGGGCAGCAGGAGTCGCAGGAACAACTGGAGCTGCAAGAATGAAGAAAGATACAAGCACATCATTCACCTACATTTATATAAAGATGACAGTCTCTGCTTTCTGTGCACAGTTTGTCATGTATCTCATCTACAACATACATTCTCATCGATTTGAGGTATTACAGTTCTAATACATGTTGTAGCAGAAATAAAATGGAAGCAGCAGTAGTTGCGACAATAATCTCAATGATATGACCACTATTCTCCCAGTAGTGATAGAAGCATTGTTACCTGTTATCAGAGCTGAGAGAGGATGGACCATCACTGAGCGGTCGGTGCAACAGAGGGCCATGTTGCGTGAGCAGGTGGGGGTCTGCGGCACGAGGGGGCTGTGGGTAGCGTGGAGCGGTGAACACAGAGCTGTAGGGTGGAGGAGGGGTAGAGGGCTGAGCCGCCACCTCCTCATAAGACGGCAGCTTCAGAGACGCCAAGAAACCTAAAAACAAAAGGGGATTAAGGTTAAAGCAAAGTAGCAGCTGCTTATTTGGAATTTCTGGTATTTTTGCCTTCATTACAGAGGTGGAAATATACGTAGATGAGTATTGAGAAAGGTCCCAGAACAGATTTAAACTACAGATGTGGTGAGCAGCTTAACCGCCTCAAAAACAGGATGTGATGTCAAGGTTTTGATAAATAGATATTGATCAGAGCATTAATAAAGTAGAGACAGTCCAACAGTTAAGTTTTTAGACCATCAGTGTGATGAGTTACAAATTATGTTGGTGAAACAAACTGAAAAAAAAAAAATAAAAACACAGCATGTCCCTAATGGTTGACTGAGCAAATCTATTCAAAGTTAAACAAAGGTAAACTCTGAACTGGAGATTGTAAAGGATTAAAATAAATATTCCTTACATTCAGTGTAAAGAGCAAATTAGTTCTACTCGTGAAAATTGGCACAATTCCCTTTAAAAAGCGGCATGTCTCTTGACAGCTGTGCCTCAAACACGAAAAGACAAAACAAGCAGCGGAGTCATTGTGTTGATGTTGAGAGTGGAGTTTTAATAGCGACAGACAGGTGGACGGGCGTTCTTACTCAGGTCCAGCATTGAGGAGGGGTAGGAGTTGGCTCCGTGATAGGCCAGCAGGCTGATCTCTCTCTGCCTCTGCTGCTGCTGGACTCTGAGTTTGGCTCGGCGGTGTCGGTAGGCACAGCAGCAGCTGAACAAGATGAGGATGGTCCACAGCAGCCAGAACCCTGAACACAATATTAGAGGAGTTAACACGCTGCTGCTGGAACTGCTACAACTCCAACTATCAGTCTGGTACTCTACATCCAGGGCAACAAAGTTTTCATAGCATTTCTTTCAGATTTAATCTTAAAGTCTTATCTCTTATTTAACCTTTTAGGGCCGTGATATACTTTATAGAGGTCGAGGGCAGTAGCAAGTCCTTGACAGGGTCAGAGGGTACGTCATCGGGGGGGCACACTATCAGCGACAGAAATGGCAAAGAGTTTTGAAGACCAGCTGTGAAGCCAGGATTGTTGATGTTTACGGCAAGCAAATCCAGAAGTGACGGCAAGATCGGTCTGAGTCTTAGTACCTAAGTAAGTAGTTGAACAATAATGTTAGGAACGTAAGGAGCTTGTGTAGTAGTGGTTAAACTTGAAGTAAAGAAAATGGAATAATTACTGCATACAATGCTAACAGGAAATATGAATACTACTCGTACACAGAAGAACCAACTTACACCAGAGTTCGTAGTAGTAGGTGCAGCAGCCAGTCTCTCCGCAGCAGTGTCCCGTCTCACACAGGTATCCTCCGTTAGCGTTTGCCCCAGGACAGTACCGCGGTCTCCCCAGCAGGGGCAGGCTACCACCGGAGTGGTACTCCATTGCACCCCTGCTCTGCGTGGACTTAGTCCTGCGCCACCGCTACCTGCTCACCACTAGCGCTAACTAGCTGTTAGCTGCCAAGTACCTGATCCTGGTCAGAGTTGAACTACATTTTTAAGTCATTTGTTTTCAAGCTGAATTTTACTAATGGATGTTGACAGGTGTTTGGTGAGCTAGCTCTTAGCTGCTAACCTTGAATAGCTTCCAAATGAAGCTAAACTACATTTTCAGAGCAGGTGAATAGCAACTGTATCTCATCACCAGTAAGATTACAATAAGTCAGGAATAACGGAGCAATGGGTGCCGCTCAATGTCTGTGACCATCAGAATGTTTTTGTACACTTCAAATAGCAAACAGAAGTATTAGCACCAAGTACTGCATCTAAATACTACGAGAACCGCAGCTGTGGCAGAGAACCAGCAGGTGGAGCAGGACGACGGCCGATATTAGTCTGAAAGGCAGAGATAAAGAAAAGAAGACAATAGTTTATTGATGAACAAAAGGAAAGAACACACACACACACACACACACACACACAGCTGACATGTCCACTACTACAGGCCTGTTTAATATTCATCACTGCACTGACTCAAAGCACAGACCAACACAAAGCTCTCTCTCTGTCCGACACACACAAACACTCACACACACACGTACTACCGACACAACCTCTGACCTTAAACGATAAGTTCATCTTTTTCTAATCTGTCAATAAATGTCAGAATATTTTTGAATTTTTATTTTAGAAAAAAAGCTACAAAAAAAACAACTCAAATATTTGGCAATTTTCCACATTTAAGCGACGGTTACACCACTAATAGATTTTTGATTAATTGCAGTTTAACAATTTGTATATCAACGAATGGATTAATCAACAATTAATTTCACAAGTTTACATCTTTTTCAGTTTTAAAACAACTTTATTTGTTCCCGGATTCAGCTCGTTTTAGACGATTATCGATAACATTGCACCTTTTTTAGAGCAGAAACTCATGTTGAGAGCAAAAGAAAAAATATATATGAAAATATTTTTTTAATGGTTTGAAAGATTTATTGAAAAACATTGAATCTTTTTGGTTTTAAGTTACTTCTACAAATAATAATTTTTTAAAAAATCAATCAACTCAAGCTGCATCAAATCACACAATCATAAACATCAGTCCTTCACGCTTGATAAATTACTCTCTAAATAAAAAAATTCCCTGGATCTGTATCAAAATTGAATGAGTGGTTCTCTGACACATTCCACATCCTTGCACCCAGTTTTGTGGAAATCTGTTTCTCAACCCTGAAACTGTTCAGAGACAAAACCTGACACTGCGTCCTCACTGTGGACATGACACACACACACACACACACACACACACACACACAGACACACACACTACGCACACACACACTACACACAAACACATTGACATACTGCTGCAGAGTTCACAATCACAGGACACGTTAGTCTTTAAAGAATTTCTTACAAGGCCAAGTTCTCCCTGCATGCTGCAGTGCTGCACACACACACACACACACACACGCACACACACACACACGCACGCACGCACGCAGACGCACGCGCAGACGCACGCCCACACAGGGGAAACTGATATGAAATTACTGCCTTTGCAGCGCGGTAAGCATGATGGCTTGTGGTCAGTGATTGCAACACACACACACACACGCACAAGCACACGCACGCACAGAGGCCACATCTGTTGTATGTGAGACAGTATAATGTCAATACACACACGATGTTTCAGACACAGCCAGTGTGATGCAGTATTCTGTGTGTGTATATATATGATGTGTGTGTGTGCATGTTTTGCATGTGTGTGTGTATATATAAATGAAAGGTGTGTTTGTTGACAGGCTGCAGATGAACCCTCAGTTGTCGTTAAATCCTCCCGTGGATAATAAACAGAAACAACCGTACCTCTCCATCCATCCTCCCGTCCTCCTCCGGTCTGTCTGCGGGCCTCGGAGCCTCTGTTGTCGGGTCGGTGGGTGTCTGAGTGTCGGTGCTCGGTACCGCCGGGGCCTCCTCTCTCCGGTTCCCCGCCTCCTCGCTCTCCCTCCTCGGTGCGACCCTCCGCCAGCCCCGCCGCCATCCGCGCGTCAAGCCCCGTGGAGACACACCGCACACTTCCGTCCTGCCGTCTGGATCGATTTCAAAATAAAAGCCCAAAGTTAACTGAAGACGCCGTTTAAAATCCTCTTCAGGTCAAAGGCTTTAAATAAAGATGGACGACATGACAGCTCCCTACAAATGAAGCCAAAACACCTCTATCGCCCCCTGGTGGCTGGCTGCAGTATAAATCCCCCCCCCCCCCCCCCCATTCACAAGTGGTCTCACCCAGTTTTCTCTATCACAAGAAGAACACACAGCAGCTGATGACATGTTGATTAAAAGCAGGTTGAGCTCAGTTTCAACAGTTGAATTATTAAAAAGTTTTGATTTTATCTTCCATGTCTGGGATTCCGTCAACGACTTTTATTTTGTAAAGAAGCATCGGTTCTTGTTTAAACCGGAAGTTTCCCTTGTGTTGTTTTTGCAAACTCGACGGACCCGCCATTACACATCCTGCAGCACGCGCACACACACACACGCACGCGCACACATACACACAAGCACGCACAGGGGAGAAAACACCTCTCCTTTATTTCGTCATCCCTCCATCCTCCTATAATCGATAATCGATCAGTGATGAACTGATGAATCGAACAGATGATGGATTCTCATGGCGGACGCTCTGGCCTCTGATTGGCCCGAGGTGACGAGCTGTGGGCCAATCAGAGCGCGCGCTGCAGCTGGTAGCAACAAGAAGAGACTTGTTTATTTATTTTTTTTTTTTCAGTCAGAGTTTAAAACTTTATCAACACGTGACCGGATTCATTCGTGTGTTTGCGAATCTGAGGAAAATAATTCGTTGATGATGTCATGATGGAGATGGGGGGTCCCTAACCTATCAGCCCTAAACCCCTGAATAATCTTTGACCTTTGACCCCCGTTACATCCGGAGCTCAATGAAGTTGATGGTTTTATTTTATTTTAAAAAGTTCCTCCCGTGTGTTTCCTGTGATGATGTAAACTGTGACATCATCCCTTCAGGGGTCACGTCTGGTCAAATAGAGTCAAGAAATTATATTTTAAATTAAACAGCATTTTGTTTAATCTTTCCAAACAACTGTGAGTAAAATATTATTTTTATGCATTTCATATATATCTTCTTTTAGTTTGATCATTTAACGTCCTCACAGGGTGGAGGGGCCATCTTATTCCTCTTTTTAATGTGTTTTGTTTTAATAGTTTATTGTCTTTAACAGGATCAATAAAAAACAATAAATGGATTTCCAGTGAAGTTGATGGAGTCAAGGATTTTCTTTTCTTCATTAACGTTAGTTTCAGGTCATAAACTGTCTCTTCACATTTTAAATCTCAGACTTTGAGACAAATTCATCTTTAATTTAAAACTGTGTTGGGGCGCCCTCTGGTGGAAGATGAAGGACGCACACTGATTTACAGGACCTACTGTGATGTAATGAGTCAATACATTTATATTGTGTTGAATATAATATATGATGTCATGTTCCAAATTGGTATTATTTTAATTTTAATTTGCGTTTTTATTGACAGTGTTTTCATTCTGACGTCACGGTGAAATAACAATAAACAACAATGCATCAACAACAAATGCATTAACAGTTTTAAAAACGATAACGATAAAGTTTATTATGAAAAAGTAGCTGCCGATTGTTTTTATTTTTCTGTTGATAAATTAACTGACGAGTCAAACGACTCACCAGCAGGAGGCAGAAGACTGGAGCCGAGTGGAGAATGGAGGTTACTGTGGCAACACACGCACGCACGCACGCACACACACTCAGGAACAGAAAGTTAAATCACAGGTTTCACTTCACATGGTTAAACTGAGGAATGTGGTGAGTTAAAGTAACGATCAGTTTGTGACGGCACCGCCCACCAGAGTGTGTGTGTGTGTGTCTGTGTGTGTGTGTGTGTGTGTGTATGTGTGTGTGTGTGTGTGTGTCTGTGTGTGTGTGCATCCTCTAAAACAGATGTTAACTGACAGATCACCTCCTTCCTGTGCAGGTGAAAAGGTCAGAGGTCAAGTGATGAGGAGGAGCGTCTGCTCCCTCGGCTTGTTTTACGACGTGTCAACGAGTTTCACTGTGACAGAGACCATCAATCAATATTATTCAATATGATGATCAATCAATGGTTTCAGTAAAACTGCTGCTGAACAAAAATCCTTTTCCTCATGAAGTCGTGAGCAGATGGAACATGAACCAAACTGAACTGAACAAGATGGAGGCGCCGTATCCCAGGTACTCTGACGTCTTGTTCGTCTGGAGGTTCTTCCTGTTGAAATGAACGACCCGGACAATCTCCTGCTGCGTTCTTCACACGTGAAACACAAACTCCAGAAAGTGTTTGTAAAATAATAAAAATAATGTAGTAATACTGAGGGTTGGTTCATGTATTATTCACAGTCTGATTTTTATTTTGAAAAACATTGACAATATTTGCTGATGAGATGAAAACAGATCGATGAAAGTCTCCTCTGTAAAAACCTGTGACTCTAAAACGTCAACAACAAGAATCAAGAAGATTGAACCTGGTTTTATTCAGTGAAGGACATTTTTTCAATGACTTAATTCATAGTTTTACTCAAATAAAGTTGTAATTTTATGATATTAAAGTATAATTTTATGAGAGTCGTTGTTTTAGGTTAGTAATATCATGACTTCTTTCTGATTGAATTATGACTTGATTCTTATTAAATTACGACTATTTATTGTTGGAATATAAAAATGTTCTCTCGTTTAAATTACGACTTTCTTCTAGATTCCGACACTTTCTCTCGTCTTCACATTTATGTTTTGGAAGTCTTTGTAAATTATCACATATTTAATTTAAGACTTTTTTTACATTTCCAAACATTAAATCTCAGCGATGAACTTTGAAAGTTTCAGGGTTAAATGTTTCACCTGAAGCTGCTCGGTTCTTTACACCGTACAAAACGTAGGTGGTTAAATTCACTTCGCTCAGCGATGACCACTCAGCGCCAGGTGATGTCATCAACACGCCCCCTGCCTCAGAGTGACATCATCGACAGCGATCTGTCCTCGCTGTCCCAGTCGTCTCTCTGCCTTTAACAACACCTGAGTATGTACACGTACACACACACACACACACGTACACACACACACACACACACGCACACACGCACACACACACACAAACACACACACACACACACACACACACACAACCTGTCATCACAAACAACTCAGGCCACAGACACTATCATGGACATTTACCTGTGTGTTTTTTTGTCTCACCTTGTCCAGAGGATGTGTTGTCAAGGTAACCTGGGTGTGTCTCCAGCCATGCCCACCTGTCCTGCTCCAAAGGGCGGGGCTATATCTGCAACAGGCAATCAGGAGCAAGTTTTCACACAAGTGACTTCCACAGTAATTAAAACAGTTCAGCTCTCATACCTTTGACCTCGTCCTCTTTTCCTGATGTACAGCTGCAGCACGCCCACATGATGCCCCGTTAGCCAATGGGAGAAGGAGAAACACAGGTCGCCATGGCTCCAGGGTGGGACGATTTGGACAGCCAATCGGGCACCGCGGATGCTCCTCTGTCCCGCCTTCAGCTCTGGGACGGACAGGTATTGTCCACCTGAGACAAAAATCAATCATTGATTAATCTGTTGGTGAGAATTTATTTATTTATCGTTTCGGTTTTTTTCGACATTTTTCGTAGCACAAACGTTTCCTGTGTCGTAGAGAAACTGACTGTTTGTTACCTTCAGGGTTATGAGAAGTTTCCCAGTGAAGATCTCCCTCTCTGTCTGACAACCAATCACAGAGTCCGTGGTCAAAGGTACAGTGGAGCACACCAGCCTCTACACAAACACACACACAAACACACACACAGGCTTTTTTAAATGCATTGGGGGGAGTCAGGTGAGATGATGTCACAGTCACAAGGTTTGTGTTGAAGATCAAACATAACAAACTCGTACCAGGATCGTCTCTGGCGTCGTCAGCTGTGTTTCCGAGCTCGATATCAAACTCCCATACCTGGTTGAGGTTGGGATTTCGAGGGACTAAAACACACACACACACACACACACACACACACACATAGTGTCAGCTGACATTTAAACTTCTTGTTTAGTCTAATGAAACATATTCTGTGTGTGTGTGTGTGTGTGTGTGTGTGTGTGTGTGTGTGTGTGTGTGCATACTCACTGTGCACGTCTCCTCTCTGCTTGAGTGTCACGTCCTTGTTGAGCCTGTTGTTCAATGTAGTCGTTACCATGGAGATGGTGGTGGGCAGTGTTGGTGTGGTATCAGGTGTAGTTACAGGTGTAGTTACAGGTGTAGTTGTAGTATCTGGTGTAGTTACAGGTTCAGTCTCAGATGTAGTAGTAGTATCAGGTGTAGTTGCAGGTGTAGTAGTATCTGGTGTAGTTACAGGTGTAGGAGTAGTATCAAGCGTAGTTGCAACTGTAGTAGTATCAGGTGTAGCTGCAGGTGTTGTAGGAACAGGTGTCGTAGTATCAGGTGTAGTAAAAATAGCAGGTGTAGTAGTGGTAGTAACAGGTGTAGTAATAATAACAAGTGTAGTAGTGGTAGTAACAGGTGTAGTAACAGGTGTTGTAGTGGTAGTAACA